TACTTAATCTATGTGGCAGATAGATCAAAATCAGTAATTTTAACAGCAACCAGAGAAACTCAAATTTAACACGAGAAAGAATTCCCTAACATTTAAATTACTGCAGTAGTCTCCTACCTAATCTATTTACCTCCATTTTTTCCCCATTCAATCCGCCTTTTTGCAACATTCACACAATCACTCCTTGCTTCAAAACCACCAACAGCTGCCCAGCCAGGTGGCTCAGTTGGCTGGAGCGTCATCCCATACATTGCGGGTTTGATTCCTGATCAGGGCACATACCTAGGTTGCAAGTTTAATCCTGAATGCGGCATGTATGGGAAGCGACCCATTGATGTTCCTCTCTCAGATTGATGTTTCCATGATGTTTCCCTCTCTCTCTCTCTCTCTCTCTCTCTCTCTCTCTCTCTCTCTCTTTCTCTCTCTCTCTCTCATCAATAAACATACCCTCAGGTGAGGATTAAAACAAAACAAAACAGCCCTATCCTGTTTGGCGCAGTGGATAGAGCATTGGCCTGCAGACTGAAGGGTCCCAGGTTAGAATCCGGTCAAGGGCATGTACCTTGGTTGCGGGCACATCTCCAGTAGGTGGTGTGCAGGAGGCAGCTGATCAATGTTTCTCTCTCATCGATGTTTCTAACTCTCTCTCTCCCTTCCTCTCTGTAAAAAATCAATAAAATATATTAAAAACAACAACAACAAAAACACCAATGGCTACCCACTGCCCAAAGAACATAAAGTGCAAACTCCTTCACCTGGCATTCAACAGCTTCTATCAACCTACTAGAAATTTCCCAACAGTGGTTTCCAGGAATGGAAATCATGAGAAGAAGCACTTTCTCCTAAAAGCATTCAGATACCGGCTAGGTTATCTCACACAAACGATGCTGGTCTCTAAGAAGGCCTTTCTCACTCCCAGTACACCATGCCTCTTGTCATTCAAACCATCGTGTAGTCCCCTCCTTGAATCTGACCTGGTCCTATGATTAAGAAAGTACAGAGTAAGTGACATTGTGTGACTTCTAAAGCGAGGTCATAAGAGACCTTACCATTTATGCCTGGATCTCAATCTCGGGATGTTTCTGCTCAGAATCCAGCTGTCATGCTGTGAGAAGCCCAAGGAACACGGAGAGCCCACATGGAGGCACTCTAGTGAACAGCCAGCCTCAAGCGCCAGGCATGTGAGTGAGCAAGTGGGGAAGTCCAGCCCAGCGGAGCCTTTAGATGACTCCTGCCCAGCCTCCATTCGACTACAGCAAAAGAGAGCCCCCAAGTGAAGACCACCCAGCTGAGCCGACTCAACATACAGAATCGTTAAAGATAATAGAGTACCGTCCTGGCTCAGTTGGTTAAGTGTCATCTCCTGCACCAAGAAGTCTCCACTTCGATTCCCAGTCAGGGCTCGATACCCCAGTAGGGGGCATGCAGTAGGCAGCCAACTGATGTCTTTTTCAATCATCAATATTTCTCTCTCCCTTTCCCTTCCTGTCTCTCTAAAAACAATAAGAACATAATTTTTAAAAAGATAATAAAGCGCCCATTTCACTTAGGAATGTCCTAGATCCGTGGTCGGCAAACCGCAGCTCACGAGCCACATGCGGCTCTTTGGCCCCTTGAGTGTGGCTCTTCCACAAATTACCACGTGCAGGTGCACACATACAGTGCAATTGAAACTTTGTGGCCCATGCGCAAAAGTCGGTATTTTGTGGAAGAGCTGGTATTTTGTGGAAGAGCCACACTTGAGGGGCCAAAGAGCCATATGTGGCTCGCGAGCCGGTTTCTTGAGCTGCAGTTTGCCAACCACTGTCCTAGATGAACCACTAAAAACTAACTTATTAAATCTTGAACCTTAAGTGCACATCTTTCAAATATTCTGTGTAACAAAATAGGAATTATATGAAAAAGCAGTTGTGTGACTGTTTGAGCTGCAAGCTAAACCAGCCACTTTTCTCATGAAACACAATTTTCACTTGAAAGATGAACAAATTATAATTACTTAGCCCTGGCCAGCTTGCTCAGTGGTTAGAGCTTCCGCCCATGGGTCACAGGTTTGATTCCGGTCAAGGGCATGTACCTCAGCTGCGGCTTGATCCCCGGCACTGGTCGGGGTGTATGTGGGAGGCAACCAGTCCAAGTGTCTCTCTCACATCAATGGTTCTCTCTCTCTGTCTCTCCCCACCCCCTTCCACTCTCTCTCTCTCAAAATCAATGAAAAAAATATTCTCAGGTGAGGATTAACAAAAAGAAAAATTAAAAATATATATAATAAATTAGACTTGGGTATTCAACCAAGTTTTTCTTGAAAATAAATGAAATGGCACAGTCACTTCAAGAAAAAAACCTGACAGTATATTACCAATGATAAAAATCAAGTTTTCATGAGAAATTCAAATTATAGAAAACCTGCATCCAACACTTTGAGGTTGACAGTTTCTCAATACTTGAAGACTTAAAAATATACATATAGATTATTGATTTCAGAGAGGAAGAGAGATAGAAACATCAATGATGGGAGTGAATAATTTATCGGCTGCCTCCTTCACGCCCCCTACTGGGAATTAAGACCGCAACCCAGGCATGTACCCTTGACTGGAATTGAGCCAGGGACCCTTCAGTCCGCAGGCTTAATGTCACAAAGCATAAAAAGTTTGTTGATGACCGGCTGGTGTGGCTCAGTGGTTGAGCATCGACCTATGCACCAAGAGGTCACGGTTCGATTCCCAGTCGGGGCACATGCCCAGGTTGTGGGCTCCATCCCCAGTAGGGGACATGTAGGAGGCAGCCGATCGATGATTCTCTCTCATCATTGATGTTTCTATCTCTCTCTCTCTCCCTCTCCCTTTCTCTCGGAAATCAATAAAAATATATTTTTTAAAAAAGTTTGTCAATAAGGTTTTAGGCTCCACATTACGACTAACCTTTAAGATTATCCTACCTCTTGTCAAGTTTTGTTATCGCATCAAAGAATAGCCACAATTACTGCAAAATATATTAAAATAACCCTCTCATTCTCAACTATGTATCTATATAAAAAAAAAACCAGATTTTTTTTCATATCCTTCAAATAAGACATATTTTAAGAGACTGGACACAGAAGCAGTTATAAAAACACAGCTGCCTTCAATTAGATTAGGCGTTAAGAGATTAGCAAAAATGGAAAACTGTGTCACTCCTCACAACTTTTTTGTTTTAAAAAACAGTATTTTTCATTAAAATTTTCATCTGTGATAAATGTAATGGGTATTATTATTATTATAGTAAATGACTTAATACATTAGTAATTCTTAGAAATTCCTAAGTTTTCATTTTTAGCTTGGTAATAAACAAAAGTTCTTGGGGCCCTTAATAAATCTTAAGAATGTAAAAGGGTTTCAAGGCCAAAAAGCTTGAGAATCACTGTTTAACAATATTCTAAAGCTGACTACAAAATAAACCAACTTTCTTTCAAAGCGCAATCTGAACTCAGCTTCTTCAGGGACAAAGCCAGTCCTCAGGGTGACTTGCTCCTCTCAGTGAGTACCCATGAGCGGCATGTTCTCAGAGCCCACCAGCTCCCTAATGTCTTAAACATCTTTGTGTGCATACATCTTCTCTCCCCAACAGGTTCCACACACCTGGGGCGTGAGACCATGTGTGAAACATCTGTCACAGCTCCTGGCCCACGAAAGTGCCTCAGAGAGGAAAGACTAAGATGACAACACCAGTTTTGTAGATTAACACTGAAAAAAATCTGACAAAGCTATAAGCTTACCTTTGCCAGGGGAGACTGAAAAAGAAAAATTTTAGCTGAGACTGGGAGCACACAGCTCAGGGATGACCTAGACAATTGACCCGTGGACAAGTATGCTACTGCCACTATGGCTAGCTGCTGCTGAAACAAATGATAAAGCAAATCAACTCAACTCAGTAGCTCTTCCTGCTCAGGGGAACTCCTACTCCAACCCTTCCCAGGGAGTCTCAGAGGCCTCCCCAAGCCCCTCCTTCCTCCTTCCCATTTCCTTCAGAGGAAAGGACTTGGTGTGGGTTTGAGAACAGGAGTGGCCCCTGCCTGAGGGCCTTCCTGCAAGATCCACAAACAACCTGACCCCCACAGAAAGACAGACACATGGGCTCAGCACCCTGTTTGGCAACAGGAAAACCCGCTGGGTGTTAAAGGCGGGGAAAGGGAAGCGAAGCTCATAAACAGCTACTGGAACCATTAAAACCTGGAGATTAAAACAAATCAGACAGGAGCCCCATGTTACCCCTGGCCCCCAGCAGGGACCCCATCACAGCCCAGCTTCCCAAAGAGCTGGGACAATGAACATCGAATTCCCTGGAGCTCCCCTCGGAGAATTTATAAAACCTGCCAGACGTCCAGAGAACAGGCAAACAGCAATGGGAAGCCCAGAGCATTGTTCAGACTCTGGTAAGGACCCACCACCCCAGCAGAGATGGAAGGAACAATTCTGTGTATTATGCCCAGCTCTCACATATGCCAGCAAATACCGACCCATGAGACAGGGATTGATTCTGTTTTTTCACTATCATCCTTTCCCAATGCCGGTACTGTGCCTGGCACGTAGTAGCACTCCAAAATGTTTAATGCACAAATGAAAGAGAATGATGAACACCATCTTTGTGGCCTGGCACCTATATGGGCAGAGAGAAAGTGTGTGCATTTATTCACTCAACAAATATTTATTTAGCATCTTCTATGCCAGACACTGTCCTAGACACAATAGGAAACAAAATAAGTCCCTGTCCTTGTGGAGTTTATGTTTAGTGGTTGTAAAGGTGAAAATCTCAATGCTACCCAAAAAACTATGTTAAGTCATGGTCATTCAATAATTGTTTAATAAGCGTCTGCTACGTGCAAGTGATGAGTACCAGGCGCTATGACAGGCACCTGGGATCTGGGACTCAGTCCTAGTGAAATTTTTCATCTTCTAGGCCAGGACCCTGTATCTGAATGTGTGTGCCAGCTGTTAGAGGCCCCTGGATAAGGAAAACGTGATTACCTCTTTGGCGCATCTGTCCTCATCTGTCGGTGAGCAGAAGCCACTGCGTGAGTACCACGTACATGCCCAAAACACCACACAACACTGCAGGATAGAAAGAAACCCAACACCTTTAGCTGAGAGGTGCCAGAGTCAGAAAAGCACCTCTAATATCTATAATAATAAAAGCGTAATATGCTAATTAGACCAGATGTCCTTCTGGATGACCTTCAGGATGAAGCCAGGGCTGGGAGGGAAGCCGGTGCCGCAGCCGGGGGAAAGAAGGCCTACTCTTGCGGGTTTTTTGTGCATCGGGCCTCCTGTGTTATAATAAAACACTAGGACGGACACATGCCCAGGCTGTGGGCTTGATCCCCAATAGGGGCATGCAGGAGGCAGCCGACCGGTATTTCTTTCTCATCAATGTTTCTATTTCTCTTTCTCCCTTCCCCTCTCTCTAAAATCTATAATAACATATTTTTTTAAAAAAAATAGACACTTGGGCTCAAAGAATGCTCCTAAGGCAAGGGGGCTCCTCCTCTGTCCCTCATACACGCCCCCTGAGATGTTGTTATTCTGAGCCTACGTAGCAAGCATTTCCCAATCCTGGAAGTAGTCTGCTCATTTCCAAGTAAGAAGACACTGGCTCTGCTGACTGTACGGGGTGGGGCAGAAGGAGCTGGCAAGATGAAGGAGGTACTAGAGCCCAACACTTCCGATGGTTAACAACTCATAAACGGAGATGCCCTGAGTCATGCTTGATTCCCTGACCAAAGCCCCATGGAGACAGGACCGGGGTCACACCCCAATCACCAGCCTCTGAGCTATGAAGGCCAGGAACTATCTCCCAAGCGAGAAGACCCACATGTCTGAAATTTGATGCAATGGGACATTTCCTCCCTGCCAGCAAGTGCCCAGCTCCCCTCTGACACCGTGTAACTCAGCTGCTTCAAGTAACTCCTCCCCTAGATCCAAAGGCACAGAAACATGCTCAGGACATCAAACCATCAACAAGCAGCAGCCACTGGGCAATCCGGACAACACAGTACAGACAAGGGTATCACGCACAGAACTTCTGACATGACACAAACAAGAGCCTGGCAGGACCGACGAAGTCCACGGAGATGCTACGTATGGAACTGCTGGGCTGTAGGGCAGCTCCTGGCATTTCCAGGAGGGCCCACAATTCGCCTCCCAATGCCAGGAAACACCCTGGCAGGGGAGCTTCCGGGACAGGATGGAGCTGAAGCCTTTAGAAGAGCCAGGTCCACTCCTGCGAGAGAGGAGCTGCCGTCCCAGGACACGCCAGCATCCGCAGGCCCTGAAGACAGCTTGCCTGGCAGCCAGGACAGCCGCCCTCTACCCAAAGCAGGGGCCTGGTAGCTTCCCAGGCCAGCATCCAACCCTGGCTGTCCTCTCACCGGGTTGGGGGAGGGGTCTCAGGGACCACCGGTGGAGGTGGCGGGCTGAGTAAGCACAATTCTTCCTCAGTGGGCTGAGGCACACCCCGGAGAAGGAAGAAGCGGTGGTGGAGAGGCAGGGAGAAAGGCAGCCAAACAAGAGTGGCTCGGTATACTTAGTTCATTCAACCAGAAGCGATGCGCTACACCATCTGGAGGTACTGTCAGAGGCCCCTCTGCTCACACCTTTGAGAAAGAGGCAGGCTGCCCCTGGCTCTGCAAAAATCACTAAATGGGAGCTCGGGGACGGACAATCGTAACTTCCCACGTAGAAAACGACAGCGTGAGCAAACGGCAGGAAGCTATCGGCCAGGGCTGCTGCTGCCCAAGCTGCTCCACAAGGACTGGGCTGACCTCTTCCCGAGCCTCTCACCTACCCCCACAGTGGGGAGTGCAGGTGAGCAAGGACAGAGGAGTAGCAAACTGCTCAGGGGCAGGCAAAACCCTTGGGAGCCTGAGATTAGACGAAATGACTGCCAAACCCACAACCTCAACTTCATTAGAATGACCCATTCCAATCCTGGTTTTCATAGAACAAGGGACCCCTTTTGGTCCATTCTGCCCAAATCCTCCCAACTGCTGCCTAAGAGGGGGCTCAAGGGTCAGTAGAAAGGGGACTGGCTCAGCCATCCTGGATCCTATTTCTTTCACAGAAAAGTTCAGTGCACAGGAGGATTCCAAAATGTGAAGTCTGGCCTAGCTAGTTCAGCTGGCTCTCCACCAAAGCCCCTGAAAGTTGCCAATTCTGTGTCCAATTCTGGCTCAAAGACAGAGAGCACGATCCTCAAAAGAGAAGACCTAGAAACCCAGAGCCACGTGAAACAACAGGCCCTCGTTTCTAAACGTGAGAGTGGGTCACGCTTTCTGAATCTTCCAAGACCAGATCGGGCAGAAACAGGGGCCTGTATGTTACTTCCTGACGATCTCTCTGGGGTACCAACTCCAAATAAAGGACGTTCAGGTGGAAGACATCTGAAAAGAACTTTCTGCCTGGCGAGAAGGTTACATATCCAGACACACCACAAAGGTGGGGGGCTCTCTGGCCCCAGACAGAATCGTCTCTGTGACTAGAAGCGACTGAAGCTCTTGCCACAGTCTGACTAACGCCGTCCCAGACGGCCTGGGCAGACAGTGACCTGACCTTTGATGTAACGCCCGGGCAAAGGGAACAGAACTTCAGTGTCCACTTCTCTCTTGGATCCACAGGAAATTAAGCTCCCAAGGAAAATGCAGGGAGAAACTTGAAAAGAACCCGCTCAGTGAGGGACGGGAATCAGAGGCCCTGGCGCAGTCCGTGGATCAGAGATGCACGAGGGAAAGTCAGCAGCTGGTTCCAGCCATCACCAGCAAAAGGGACAGATGTCTGCCAGCCCCGGAGCTAGCGGGAGGCAATCTGTTTAAAACTCAAACAGGAAAAACACTGTCTGGAGTCAGCACAGGGGGAAAAGGTTGAGAACCACACTGTGGGCGGTGGGAGTCAGGGCTCCATGGGCTCCATGGGCTGGGGTATCACGATGTGCATGTGTTCAGTACGTCCAGAGTGGAAGGACGCGCAGCCCTGTTTCCTGGAAGGGGAAAAGAGCTGGACGAGGCCTCCAGCCAGCCTGGCGCACGCCCAACTCGGCGGCCAGTCTCTTCCCAAGGGTTCCTGGAAGTCAACAGGCCCATAAAGAAGTATTACAGCTGAGATGAGAAGAACGATCTACACACTGCACATCATCCCTGATGCAACACCCCAGTAAATTCTCCCACGAAGACATCACCTGCTCTTTATCTCCGATATTCGGTGCCCCTCACCCCCCTGCTATCTGAGCTGCAGGTCAAGGGGGAAGCACAGTAGTGTGTGAGCTAATGCTTCTCCCTGAGGCAGAGGCAAGGCCCTGGGAGGGAAGGGGAGAGAGGGGCAAAAGCAGGGCCTCTGAGAGGAGCCGGGGCAGGAGAGGCTTAGGCAGACAGGTAAGCAGCCCGGGGCTGAAGAAGCCTGTAACCCCGCGAGGGAGACGAGGAGGAGCCCCAATACTGTGAAGGGCAGGCAGCGGGGGACGGAGGGGACAGGGATGGAACAGAGCAAAGACTGAGGGCAAGGATGGAAGGACGAAGGCCGAGGACAAGGATAACCAGGGGGCAGGGAAGATCCCCAAGGAGACCCCGGGCAGAGGGCAATGCATCTGGAGACACCGGAGAAGAGACGAAGGAAGGTCAGAGGCCAGGGTGGGGGGCGGGAGACCACCCGAGCCTGAGCCCGGGCTCTCCCAACACTGACGCGGGAGGAGACGGGACCACGAGGCCCGAGTGGGGTCACAGTCGGGTGGGGAGGCCTGCAGCTGGGCTCAGACAGCGGTGAGGGTCCCAAGAGCTGGGGCACAGGGTCAGTGCGCTCCCACAGGGGGAGCACCACTCACCCAGAAGCCCTGAGCTGGGCTCACAGCTGGTGAGCACAGCAGCAGTTGCTAAGGATTCTCCTGCCTCCACAGCAGCACTAAGGATGTTGGCTGCTGGCTTAGGCCTGTTCCCCAGAGGGAGGGGGCCTAAGG